ACAGACTTACTTAAAAGCTATTTTAAAAAAGACGAAGTATAAAATGAGGTAAAAGCTTTCAAAAAAGCTAAGAATGCAAATGTAAAAACACTGGCGAAGCAAAAAAAGTGTTAAGATTATGATGAAAAGAAGACAGGTACACTGCAAGTCTCAAATAGACCCTTTTCATAAATGTCTGCCAATTATAAATTCTTTTGTAAGTATTAAAATTAGCCTGACTAACCTCGTTTTTGAGTTGATAATTCAAAAGAACTTTTACTCCCGAACGAGTTAAGTGAGGCTAATTTAAATGCATACAAAAGAATTTTAAATTGGCAGCCATTTATGAAAAGGGTCTATAATCCAGTAGGCCGTTCCCAAGTACACTCAGTGCAGAAACAGCAAAAAGATCTTTTGCCACACTTTGAAATGGATAGAGGAATCCTTGACTCGCTAATTCCAATTACCTGTAATTGGACATCCACGTGATTGCATGCCAATTACATGACAACTACGCGTGCGGAGAACCAATCACAATAGAGAATTTTGTTATAGATACAATTAAAGACAAAATTTCTGTTGACGTCGATTGAATGCTGATGTTGTTATCAAGTTATTTCCTTCTTCTTCTGTATAATGACCCATTCACTCGGAGAGAATCGTTGCCATGCGGTAAAGAGCATTAACGGTGGCCAACACACATCCTTTTTTTCGTAGCCACATCAACATCAGAAGTTATTCAGGTGTTCAACTGGTGTGAAAAGAAAAGCCGACGGAAGTTACTTGACACAGGGTAAGAACAATAGCAAGGCTACTTGTACCTTTTTAATAAAAATTGAATCGGGTTTCAAGTGGGCTGTACTGGCTGTCAGCTTCCTCAGTTGGCAATGAAATACTACAATTGTATAGGACATGAGTGTGAATGATTTATGATTTATGATTTACATGATCTGGATAACTACTATCTTCTTTGTCACGTGCCTTTCCCCCAAAATATGCCCAATCCTGAGGTCCTATGCATTATATAGAGGGTAATACATGGACACGCATAGATAAGGAATATCTCTTTTCGTGTTCAACTCGATATCTCACTCATTCGCTGCACTGACACTCGTGAGATAAAAACTTGAACACAAGAAGAGAAATTCCATATCTACAAGCAACCATGTATTATTTTGTTTATTATATAAACATACTCATCTGATAACGACATTTTTGACGATTTTCTGAAGATTTCTGACAACCAAACGAAGATCTCTAAAGATCCTCCAAAAATTGTCCGAAGGCCAAACCGACGTTTCCAAAAGTTCGGAAGACTAGTGAAGATTACCGATGATTTCCAAAGATTATCAAAGATTGCTGAAGACTTTTGAGGAAGATCCGAAGATGTTTCAATCATACACCAACACATTTAAGTGCAGCATAAGGGTCATTGAAACATGACAGCAGTGAAGTCACCAATATCTATCTATCTAGTGAGGATTTGGAAAATACGCTACTCGTGTCCCCAAGTGTGGTTTCGTATGAATTTTGCAAGTGGTTTATTTTCCAGTAAAACGCTCATGATTTTCAGTAGCCGTTGGGCTCCTGTGTTGATATAATAATATCCAATAATGTGTCATGATCATGAGAGGTTTCAGGCTTAATTTGTATAATAAATATTATCACCACAGTTTAGTTCAAATTTTTGTGTGGGTTTAGAGGAAATTCACTCCTGCTGTTTAAGACTTTCACTTATCATCTATTTCTTTCCTGATGTAGAACGTCTGTCAGAGGATAAACTACGAATGCAGTTGCCTCAAAATAATGCCGGACGACAGAACACACAAGTTGATATTGATCCACCAGAGACATTTGTAGAGGTAAGTTTCTTAGGTCGTTTATGTATCATTCTGTAAAATTTTGAAGTCAAGAAATCAGTTAAGTTATGTATTTTGCTTTTGTCGTTTGCTAAATCATTCATGATTTGACTGTATTTCTCCCAAATCTTTCAAACACTGTACTATTTAAATTTGTGCTCAGACTAGTACATAGTAGAACTCCATAAATCCGCCCACTGGCATGATGCGGTAATCTGGTTGTATTGATGGGTTGGTTGTGTCAAAGGTGTTTTTTTAAATAAGATGACTGACTGAACTTTTGTTCAGGTCAGAATAAAGTGGCTGTAATCACAAGGTAACCGTAAATACCCCATGTCCCTAAGGCGGGGTGCAACTGTACATCATTGATACACACTATTGTGTAATTGTTTTTGTTGCAAAGGAAAGGCAGTAGAAGGAGGGGAGGGGAGGGAAGGAGGGGCTTTGAAGATAGG